CAAAAGAGCAATGATATGCAAGTGCTATAACAAGTCTCAGTTAGCTTAACGCAGCACACAAGGATTTTTAAATAATATAATAAATAAAAAGAAAACATAGAATAGAAAAAGAATAGAGCAAGCTAGTGTTAGAGGTATTTCTTGCTTTTGTTAATTGTATAATAAATGAAAAGAAAACAGATAGAATACAAAAAGATTAGAAAGCTAGTGTTCGTTTTTTTTTATAAAGAAAACAAGCAGCAAATTAATACAGTGCAAGTCTAAAAGGGACAAGTGTTTTTTTTTTTTTTTTAAAGAATAGAATTAGAATTGAGGTTTATATATTAAATATATTACATTTGTCTTTTTTCTTCCTGTTTTAAACAGACTGATGTAGTGAGCACACCATTTTACCACAACTAAAACATGAAAACAGAGAAGTATCTCATATATCTGGTTGTAATCAAGTCCGTAGCCCTTCGGTTATGAGTAATGGAGTAACACATCCAAGGATGGTCTGAAAAATAAAGTCAGAGTATTATCTGGTATGCTAAACTGCTTTGCATTGAATTGCTGCACTAATATTTCATGATTTTTTAATTATTGAACTAATAATTAATCATGAGAATTTATGTACAGTGGTTTTCAATGTGTCATTGCTCACGTCACTGATTTGTGTATGCATGCTTTATACTCACCTTAACTTCTTGTACTTCATCCAATAAGTAGATCACTTCCAAATCAAGAGAAAAGTGCAAAGAACGAATGTGAAGTTAGCTTTTTCAATTTTCAAACCAGCCTAACACAGTCAAATCAAGAGCAAGAGCAACTTGGTAGTTCATCTAGAAATTAAACCACAAATGATGTTAGAGAACCAATGAGCAGTAAAAGCAAAGTTTTGCCCATGTTAGATTAACATCTATCGTATGGATTAATTTCATTCAAATGTATTTTTTAAAAATACACATTCAGCACTATATACCATGAATATAGCAGTTGTCCAATGGCAGGCCATGTGAGACCAAACTATTCTTGAGCTTTCGTTGAGAATTCAGTTGTATATCCGAGTTCTGCTAGTAGTGAACTTTTGCCAATCACGAATAGTTCAGAACTAGCGGAATTCCAGACATACGACTGACTGAGTGCTGTCTGATCCATCTGTTTCTGAAAAACATCCTTTTCAACTACATCACTGAATATCTGTGATTTACACTCTGATAGCAACAAAACATCACAATAGTGACCCTTGATTCTTAATCCCACCAAAGCATAGATATTAATTCCATTAAGTCCACGTTTAAAGAAAGTCTAAAAGATCATAATGAACAAATACCTGATCTGAATAACATACATATCAGTACAATTCTTAAAAACAAGGAAACAACTGGTAGAGTAAAAAAAAAAAAAAAAGGTTTACAGACTGCTCTTGTCTTTGTGTTGGCTCCATCCTCATCCTGGTTTGGTCTGTTCATGTCCTAGCGTTCACTTCCTCCTGCTCAACTTTGCCACAATAGAAGGAGAAGCAGATGACTGAAAAAGAAAGAAAGAAAATGCCTATGGTCAGAAACAGGGAGAGATTAAAACTGACCTCAGCAAGATTTTCAGATAAACCCTGCTTTCCCTAAACTGAACCATCAATCCAGTGGGATTAGGAAGGTTTGGGCGGCATCCTTGTCAATACTAATTAGGATCCTGTGAGGAGGGTACCTGGGTACCCCAGTTGTCCCAATAAGCTGATTTGGACTTGGACTGTAACCTAGATGTCTGACTTACCCTGCACAAAACATGATGAGTATGATTGAAATTGTTTTGAATTGGCACGAAAGAGTAATGATTAAGAGTTGTTGGGCATAAACTGTGTGGAACTGTGTTTACAATGACACTGATATAATTGAGAAAATGTTCATGTCCTTTATTAAGACTTAAATATACTCTATAAAGTATTCAGTCAAGTTGTGCAGTCATATTAACATTATTTATGACTTAGGTGAACCTGCAGTATATATTGAAACGGCCTAAAATCTTTGAAATTTGGAAAAAGTAATTACAGCTTCTTTAATGATATTAAGATCCACATACACCTAAAAACTAGGGATGCACCGATACCGATACTGGTATCGGTATCGGGCCCGATACTGGCCTCCTGTACTCGTACTCGTACTCGTTAAAATGCCCCGATACCAAAATGACACTGATATAATTGAGAAAATGTTCATGTCCTTTATTAAGACTTAAATATACTCTATAAAGTATTCAGTCAAGTTGTGCAGTCATATTAACATTATTTATGACTTAGGTGAACCTGCAGTATATATTGAAACGGCCTAAAATCTTTGAAATTTGGAAAAAGTAATTACAGCTTCTTTAATGATATTAAGATCCACATACACCTAAAAACATTTTTGTGCTGAATGTTGCATGTGTGTTTGTGTGCGTGTGGGTGCGGAATATAATAGAATAGAAGCTACGTAATAGATTCTATGCAGTATATAAGGAATGAATGTGCAAATGAGCAGTAGTTGTGCAATGCGCCAATTAATACAATCTACAACTTAAAATAATGTAAAGATTCTTTACTCCTGCAGTAGGCAGCAGGGGCCATTATACAAAAAACATGCTATAACTCTAGAATCCTGTTTTATTTCTTTATTGCCATTTCATTTTTTTAAACTTTATTTTTTATTGTAAAACCCATAATGGAACCTTTCTATGCATTTTTTGAAACCTAAAAAGCAGAGTTCTACTGAGCACCAGAGAGGATTCTGATATTTTTACAAGCCAGGGCACTCTAATGCTGTTTTTGTTTCAGAAAATGCCATGTTTTTACTTGCAATAATTATCTTATGCATGTTTAATAAAAGTCACTCTTGACACACTGTCCAAGAAGTTTCAATCAAGGGTAAAAGTGATCTGTGACCTAAACTTAAAACTTAGAAAGCATCAAAGGGCGCTGTCACCTTAAAATCACTCCTGTCTCGGTCATGCCAAATGTCACCGCACACTGTTTTGGTTTACCTGTGATGGCTTCAACAATCCTAGGAAGGAACAGTAGCTTAGGCCTCCTGTAAGTCTAATGAATGAGTCTTGGTTCTGCTCCTGATACCTGTTTTGACCTCAAAAATTCTCCAACCTGTAAGCCAGGGCATTCTCCTTTTTCGCATATAAAAGCACTTTGACAGGAGCCCGAAGTCTGTTGGTGCGAGTCGGCCAGAGACAGCAGATAGTACAAACATAAAGGCCCAGACCTTTACAACAGCCAGGTAACTACAGGCTTGGGCTACACAACAACGGCCAACAATGGCAGAGCAGTGGGGAGACGCAATCTTCGCAGCCAGGCGAAGGGGAGATGAAACGACGAGGGAAACAATGTTTGTATATACCAACAGCAATAACACCAGGAGTGAGTCTTTAGTATTTGTTTCTGTATAATTTCTCAACACATTATTGTAATTTGAAAAACAAAGATATTCTGTTAACGATAAAGCCATGTGAAAGTCTTTGTGGGCTTTAAACTGTTTCAAAATAGTGACAAAGTAATAGGAAAGGACATTTTTATAGTCAGTCTTAAACTTCAAATGTTTGTTTTTTGACCTGCCAGAAGGAACATACAGGACAAAGAACAATTTCAGACTGATAAATATGAAGCTTTAGAAAAATGAGAGTTGGTTACAATGGCTATTAAGTGAGAACTCCTTCAAGGTGATATCACTGCTCTTTATTTCTCATTTCCAGATCCCTTTGAGGGACCCAACTACCACATTGCCCCTCGATGGGTGTACAACGTAGCAACATTATGGATGTTCTTTGTGGTCATTGCCTCGACCTTCACCAATGGCCTGGTGCTGGTGGCCACAGCCAGATTTAAGAAGCTCCGTCACCCTCTTAACTGGATCCTGGTCAACCTCGCTATAGCTGATCTAGGAGAGACTCTTTTGGCCAGCACCATCAGTGTCATCAACCAGATTTTCGGCTACTTTATCCTCGGACACCCCATGTGTGTTTTTGAAGGCTACACCGTGTCTGTATGTGGTAAGTTACTGCCCAAAGACATAATTGTTCACAACTACAGATAAATGCATTGGATCAAAGTTTAATATTTGACATTTTTGAAACTTTGTCAGGTTTTTCATAGTATCTAACAACACAATCAACAGGTATCGCTGGTCTGTGGTCTTTGACGATCATCTCTTGGGAAAGATGGGTGGTCGTCTGCAAACCATTTGGAAATGTCAAGTTTGATGCTAAATGGGCATCTGCTGGTATCATCTTCTATGGGTTTGGTCTGCTTTCTGGTGTGCACCTCCCATCTTTGGCTGGAGCAGGTAAAATCCATTATTAAATCATCTAAATGAAGACATTTGACGGCTAGCTGTATATTCATTCAACATAAAATTATTGAATTCTTTGGCTGGTACGACAAGCATGTAAGTTCCACACAAGCTAAAATGTGGATCTTCCGATCCATTATCTTCTCACAGATTCTGGCCTCACAGTCTAAAGACCTCCTGCGGGCCTGATGTCTTCAGTGGAAGCAAGGACCCTGGCGTCCAGTCCTACATGATTGTCCTGATGATCACCTGCTGTATCATCCCTCTGGCCATTATCATTCTCTGCTACATTGCTGTGTGGCTGGCCATTCATGCTGTAAGTTGTCTCCTGGACTGCTTTCAGAAGTTTTTCCAGTTTGTAAAAAGGCACTAAGCATCTATCATTTCTTTCCAACAGGTCGCCCAGCAGCAGAAGGATTCTGAGTCCACACAGAAAGCAGAGAAGGAAGTGTCCAGAATGGTGGTTGTCATGATCCTGGCCTACTGTCTTTGCTGGGGACCTTACACGTTCTTCGCCAGCTTTGCTGCTGCAAACCCAGGCTATGCCTTCCACCCACTGGCAGCAGCCATGCCTGCCTACTTTGCCAAGAGCGCCACCATCTACAACCCCATCATTTATGTCTTCATGAACCGACAGGTAGGCCAATACTGTTTAACAGAGCTCAGACCTTGAGCACATTGAGAAAACTTCGCAAAATAATCCTGATTTGTCTTTCTTTGCAGTTCCGTGTATGCATCATGCAGCTCTTTGGAAAGAAGGTGGATGATGGCTCCGAGGTGTCCACATCCAAGACAGAAGTGTCCTCTGTGGCTCCTGCATAAATTGCACACCAGATCTCAGAGCAAACATTCTGACTCCAACATGGGGAAAAACGATGACAATGGGACTTTTTATATTCCTTGTTTACCCTCACCGTATCTTGATGATTCTGCTTCCAGATATTTCCCTTGGAGTGATGGATGTTGCATGACAGTGTGTGTTAACATTACTTTCTCAATGGCCCTGTGACATAAGATACACAGGAACTTCTGGCTATTCAGAAGGTTGTGCGCCTATATACAGCACTTCTTTGTGGGAATGTGACACTCAGTGTGGATTAACTAACAGCGAAAAGAACTCGCCTCATTCTAATGTACAATTCTGCTGGATGGCAATGTATTTACGAGTTTTTTAGCCATCTTGCAAGAAAACAAAAATGACAAAAAAATGTTTGATAGATGCCTGCCCATGTACAGCATGTAATATGGTTCTATTTTTTTCTTTGATGAAAATAAAAAAAGCAGCAAAATAAATATTTTGTTTTGGGTCTTTCATTATTAGACATATTACAAGAATTAAAATGATCATATTTTACATTTAAATATTTAATGTTGACTGTACTTATATTCCCCTGGCATTAAATTTCAATCAATCAATCAATAACTAGTCAACACGCTACAAGGATGTTACAGCTGCTGAGGAAGTGACTGTAAATTTGACATCCTAATTATCTGTGACAATCCATCTCTATATGTTTTTCCTATTTTGGAAAGTCTTGGAAATCCAATAGTGGATTTGTCTTTTGCAGCTGAAGTTAATGGGAATGGAAAAACAATATTTGCTATGGTCTCCTACGTCTGTGTTCCAAACCTGGAAATGTGAAAAGAGTCCATTATCTTGTTTCAAATGGTCTTGTCTCTTATTTCAATTTTACACGTTTCCCATGTTTCACTTGAAAGAAAGTAAAACATAAAGAAATTGCACTGAAATCCCTAAGACAGCCAGACAAAATCCACTTAAAAGAAAATAACTTTCAATTAAATATGTTTTATTGTAGGCTACTAGACAGGATC